TTTATTTATTTATTTATTTATTTTTGCAGAACTGGGGATTGAACTCAGGTCCTTGCACTTGCCAGGGAAGCGCTTATTGTACTGAGCCATCTCCCCGGCTCACAAAGCAAACCTTAGTAAAAATAAAATGGATTGCCACATGGGAGGATGCTACATAGATTTATAAATTCAGCATAGAACCTAGGAAGGGGTTTATGGTTAAATTCTTCAAACCTTCCATACCTTTGAAAAATTTCCAAAACTTCTGGTGTGGGGAGTGCCCATTAATGTTTATGACAGGACTTGTGTCTCTGGTCTTTGACAACAACCTCCTGCCTTCCACAGTGGCACACGCATTACTCAGCCAGTCTGTGTAGCTGCTTAGTGTGTCCAGTGAGTCACAGAATGTCAAAGGTGTAGCAATTTAGGGAATATGGGACCCAATGAGCCTGCTCTGATGATGAAATTGAGGGCCAAGGCTATTCATTTGGGGGGAGGCCAGCCTGGATCAAATTCTTGCATCAGGGGCCCTTCCCATCCCCTACACTGTCTTCCTCAAGTTTGTATGTGACCAACAGGGGACTCATTGCCATGTGAGTGCCTGCCAGGTGCCAGATGCTTCTTGTACTGTCACATGCAATGCATTGTCCTTATTCAATCCTTTATATTATTTCTTCTTTAATAGGAAAGAAAATGAGGACAAGAGATGATAGAACTTGGCTGAGGTCATGTAACTGAGGGAGATCATATGTCACACCTGCCTGTTCTGTTAGGCTAAAAAACCTATAAAGGACAAGACTAAGGAGCTTTGGGTCTTGCTGTGTGTTCTGTACTTGGTGAAGTTTGTCACAGCATGAACATTCAGTCAATATCTACTGAATGAAAATAGGATATCATGTCTGCATCTTGTACAGCAATTAACCACTAGGAAGAATGTATGCAATGTGTTAATTATTGAAACTGTCCTACCAATTTGATTTGAAACTGTCTCATTGCTATTTGTTTATCAATAAAATTATGGGAAAAAAGGAGAATCTCTCTCTCTCTCTCTCTCTCTCTCTCTATATATATATATATATATATATATATATATATATATACATATATATATAGAAAGAACATGTGAATGAATGAATGAATGAAGCTGAAAAACAAATGAAAACCTGACTTTAAGCTTCATTTTTTTTACATTATGCTTTATGTTGTATATGACCCTGAAGGTAACATGGTCTTAACTGTAGGAAGAACAGCTGTAGAGTCTGCACCTATCAGTGTGAAGAGAGATCGTGCCTATTATCATGTCCTAATCAGTCAATGTCTAGTGAAAGCATCTTACATGTTGGACAGTAGAAAGAAAAGGAGAACACAATCCACCCTTGAGAGTCTTGGAATTTCCAGATCTGAGAAATGGACCAGTCCTAGGACAGCTCAGGCTGAGCCGCATGGAACCCACAGAGCTTGCTTTCATAGAGATGAGGAAGTGCAAGGGGAAAAGACTGGAAAGTATGGTGGGAGAAGGGAGCCAGATGAGGAGGAGACTGGCTTGGGAAGGTCAGTATGCCTGGAACACCAGCTGATAAATTTGGCCTTCACCAAAAGCCACAAAGGGAACAGTTCCAGAGGCTCAGGCTGATAAGATAAACTTGAGATTCCAGGGAAGGAGAACATGTGAACTGAACAGTTGTTCTGGGTCCACAGGAGCAGCTCCAACCAGTGAAGGCAGTAAAAGAATTGCATGTTTCGTGCATGAACTATTTGCATTTTCCCCCCATAAAATGTAAGAACTTGTATTTTTATGCCAAGTAGTCTGATTTGTAAATTCAAATCCAGACAGATTTAAAAAATGATTGGTTACCTACCTCTGAGCCTAGGTCCAGTCTCTGGGCCCTGCTTATTAATCTTTGCAGTCCAGGGGATGGCTCCTCTGATCACCTTCTTGGACCTACCTCATTCTCAAGCAGGGTTATGGGATGTGGATGTGGGGTGTGTGTGTAAAGGAGGGGAAGAGTGGTGAAGGGACCAGGAATGGTCCTCTAAATACTGAGAACCAGTCACTTACCTACACAGATTCTGTATGCAGTTTGGGCCCCATGCACACGTGGCCCTAGGTAGCTCTCACTGCCCACCCACTGCACATTACCCAGCAGGACTCCCCCAGAGCCTGCCCTACTGCCTGGCCATACTGCAGCTGGCAGCACAGGTGGCAGAGGCTGCCACATACTGTTTCCCTGTGCCCTGGATAAAGGTTTCCACCAGAGCTTAGCACCTCCCTGTGCCATTCAGCGGCCTCGCCTCCATCCAGGCTCATGGATGAGCACAAATGGCAACTGAGGATGGAATGTTAGCAGATGATGATGTTTTTGCTAGAAAGGGCTCATGGCTAAGGTTCCCAAGTGTTATGCTTTGTGTCTAGATGCCGCCACAAAGCCTCATACAGTCATAGGTGGGGCTTTTCTGAGGTGGCTGGATCTAGAATGTGTGGGAAGGGATCAAGGATGCAATGCTAGGATTAAGGGTGGGAGTACTACCTGTCCTAAGGGTGGGTAGGCTGCATAAGACAAAGGGGGCAGAAAGAGACTTGCTGCCGGTTGCTGCTGGCTTGTGGCTTGCTGCTTGTGTGCTCTTGCTGCCTTCTCCTGGCCATAAACACTTTCTCCTCTGTGACACCCCTCTGCCATGCCACCCTGCCTCGGAGTCAGCTGTTTATAAAGTGAAACCTCTACTAACTGAGCTGAAATAAATCTTTCTTCCTTTAGCTTTGGGTGTTGAGTGTTTTGTATCACTAACAAGAAAAGTAACAAGGACGCCCATCTGTTAGTGTGACTGCCCATCTGCTTCCTTGAACTGGTAGCAGCCGTCCACCTGGGTGAAATCCATTCCCTTCCTCTGGTACAGAGAATCGGGTCAGCTTAGAGGTGATTCTTGAGACTCTGCAGATCCTTCATTTGCCTCTAAATCCATTACCTCCTAACTGTGCTGTTACGGCCCACTTCCTCAACCTGTCTAATTTCTCACCTGTAACCATGGTGACAACAATAATGCTTATATAGTGATGTTGCTCCAAGGATCAAAAAGGTTAATGCAGGTGGAATACTAACATGGCGTGACACATGCATTATCTATATCCAATGCCCTTACTCTTTGGGGCAAGCCAGAAAACACGACAGGGGCTGAGGTTCTGTCTGGACAAGATGCCCATGGAACAAGAGCTCAAGGTATGAAGCCCAGTGTGCTTCCCTGTGCTCATCTGTCCCCTAAGAGCTTTGAAGTGTGGGTTACATAAGATAGTCCAGGGGCCATTCCCTGCAGCAAAGTCAAATCCCAGATGGTCCCTTTCCTCTCATGGGAAAGAAGCCACACAGTCACCACTGAGCTGCATCATCTCCTGCAAGCCATGACAGGCCAGGAGAATGCACCTCAAGCACCGCCTAACATACTTGCGGGTCCCTGATGGAAATCATTTTGGGTGGCACTGTCCTCTTCTCTCTAGAAGCTGTCTATCCACAGGCTAAAATTTTATTCATTCTATGTCACTTCACAGATCCCTCCAGGTGCAACCCCTTGCCCTCCCCCACCCATCCTCCGCACTGATGGTGGTGGACAGAGTGTGTCCTTGACATCTTCACTGGATCACAGATCTATTCAGGGCAGGAACGGAGTTAACAGCACTGGTTTTGAACTTAGACTAGGACAAGCTATGTGCGCTCCCCAAGCTTCAGTCCCTAGTTTGCAGTATGGGGATAGCCTGTTTTGTCTGGGTGACCTTGCTTTGTCCTCACAAACACCCAGAGAAGAGAGACTATTTTATCGGAGTTTACAAATGCAGCAACTAGAGCTCAGGAAGAGTGAATTGCTTGTCCACAATGTCACAACTTTGAAATGTCTGGGCTGGAATCTAGAGTCAAGTCTACTTATTTTAAAAGTCCACGCTCAGGGGCTTATTTCTTACTGAACTGACAGAAAAAAAGAAGGGACCGATATAAAATCTAACACTTTCATTGTCCACTTTTTCTTCTTTCCTGATGTCAAGAGATGGACATAAGGAGAAAATTGAGCTCAGAATTTTTACGCTATTCATTCCAACCACTCACCCAAATTTAAACTATGTAAGTCTCTTGTCACATAGAAACACAAACACCAGGCCAGCTTTCATCAGTCAAATATTTATGGGAATACAGCACTGTGGACAGAAAGTGTCTTGGGTGAAAAATATAACCAGATAGAATGACTTTAGCACCTGTGTGACACTACTGAAGAACAATGTCAAAAAAACTGATTTAGAGGGGCCATTGAGATAGCTCAGTGAACTAAAGCATATGCTTAGGCAAGTTTAGGTAAGCTCAGGGACCACGGTTCGATCCCTGGCACCACATGCCATACCAGCCCTGCCCCCAGGGTGGGCTGAGCCAGCTACAGAGTCCAGGTGTAGTGGTATGTGCCTCTAATCCCAGCTCTGGGGAGACTGAAAGCAGGAGGATCACCATGAGTCCAAGCTGCATAGTGAGACCCTGCAACAACCAAATACATTTTAAAAGAATGATTTAGAATCTGACAACAATCAGCTGATTTATTATGAAGCCTTGCTACTGAAAGGCTTGTATGTGACTTTCCATTTTTTAACCTTTCACAGGATATTTGGATGGATAGACACAAATGCCATTTATTGAACACTGAGCATGTGTAAGGATTTAACTCTTCACCTTCATCATCTCTCTGTAAATTTGCAACAAACAGCTGAGGTGGCACTGTTACCTTCTCCACTTCTTAGGTGGCAACAGAGCCTTAGGCAAGGCGACTGGCTTTCAAATCCTGCATGCAGGATTTGAAAGGTGTTATTGATAATTCTCCCCTAGGCTGTGTTATTAACTATTGAGCAATGGGTGGTAGATACCTAAATTCAGAGCAAAAACTGAGCTGCCCAGAACAAACTCCGTGTACAAGAAGACCAGATGAGATTTGCCAGTTTTGAGTGGATAATGTTAGAAACACCTCCTGTCAGAAAGACAGAAAAGCTGCTAAATTTACTAGGCATAGCGGTACGTGCCTGTGCTCCCAATCGACTGAGGAAGCTGAGGCAGGAGAATTACAAATAGGAAACCATGGAGATGACCAAGGGCCGTGGAATCCTGAATAGACCCAGAGCACAAGCCCGGCGAGTGAGTGAGAGGACTGGGGGTCCTTCGGATCCTGAACAGACCCAGAGCGCAGGCCTGCCAGTGAGTGAGACGACTGAGGGCCGCGGGATCCTGAACAGACCCAGAGCGCAGGCCTGGCCAGTGAGTGAGACAACCCGGGGCCCTCGGATCCTCATTCGACCCAGGCTGCAGGCCCAGCAGGGAACCCTTCAGCAGAACTCCCTGCAAAGAGGCTAGAGGCAAGACCCACCCAGCTGATTCAGGAGCAGAACATCTTCCCAGAGAGACACAAAGGGTTCAACTCTAATGCCTGCAGCAGAAAGAAGTGGAGCACAGCAGCCAGATCCAAGCAACACCCACCTGGAGGAATCTGAACTTCGTAGATCCGGACCTGGTGCTAAGGTAATAACTCTATCTAAGCTTACGCCAAAGATCAGAAGACAGTGGTATGCAAAATGACAAAGAGAAGGAACAAAATGCAGTCTCAGGCCCCAAGTCCACCCAGTACAACTGTAGAAGACACTAGCACTGAGGAAACTGGAAATCACACACCAGATATCTCAGAAATAATAGTGTTGACAGTAAAGAATCAACTGCAGAAAGGTATAGAAGAAATCAGATCAGAAATAATTTCGGAACTAAAAAATGTAGTGGTAACTATAATGAAAGAAGTACTAAGTGCTTCTAAAGAATACACTGATAAAAAAATAGAGGAGAATAGAAAAATGATGGAACCCCTGAATAAACAATTTAGGAAAGAAATAGAATCTATGAAACAGGTTCAGAGTGATATACAGAAAATTAAAACCTCAATCACAAAGCTGGCAAAACTGTTTGCGTGAAAGTGAAAATAAACTTTCTGACCTGAAAAACACCATTGCAGCTAGTGAAAAAGTAAGAAAAGATCTCTTTAAAACAACTAGGATGCAGGAAAAAATAATTCAATACCTGCAAGATGATGCAAAGATGAACAATGTGAGACTAATAGGCATCAATGAGAAGGAAGGAGTCAATACAAATGATATAAAAAGAATATGGACAAAAGTAATAGCAGAAAACTTCCCAAATATGGGGCAACAATCTGACATTCCTGTAACCGAAGCATATAGAACTCCAAATAGTATCAATCCAATGAAAACCACACCCAGACACATACTAATCAAGATTCCAGAAATTCAGCATAGGAACAGTATACTAAAAGCTGCTAAAGAAAAGAAACAGATCACATTGAAAGGAAAACCCATCAGAATAACGGCAGATTTTTCTTCACAAACCATCAAGTCAAGAAGAGCATGGAGCAAAGTACTTCAAGTCTTGCAAGAAAACAAATTCCAACCCAGACTGATCTATCCTGCAAAACTCTCTTTCAAATATAATGGAGAAGTGAAATGTTTTCATGACAAAGAACAACTAAAGAATTTCATGATGACAAAGCCAAGCCTACACAGACTACTAAATGATGTTCTAGAGAGGGAGCAAATTGATCACAGCCCCATGAATGAGAATGGAAAGAACCCGTCAAATAGAGCAAACAATTAAACAGAGGCGAATAAGAGGTATATAATAGTAGTCTTTTAGTTATTCTTTTGTGTTCAGCAGCAGATTATTTTCACCAACACACCCTACAAATGGACTTCTCTTCCACCCTATGGGTCATGATTCCACCTGAGTCTACAGGGTGGATTTCAAAGAAATAGCCGTAGCTCAGTTCCACAAGTGACGCGTAGCCACCAGTAACTCTCACAGTCATTATGCATGTCCACAACACACTAGAACTTTGTGCGATATCCCATCCTCAAACTGTTAGAAGTGCTGGCCATTTACTTGCCATTCCAGTATTTATCTTATGTTTTACTCTTAGTACTTCTTTGTTATCATGAAAACTTTTTCTTAGTTCAATTGTTTTGAAACATTTAATTTTCTGAATATTGCTTAATCTTAATTTTTGTTCTAAGATTTATACTGTATCTTTGACTTACAATTTATTTAAAAGACATTGTATGATATCTTCTCCTAGTATTAAAAACTTTAAAAAGTATATTTCCATTTTCTGTTGACCAAAAAAAAAAAAGAAGTTTGTACCTATGTTGTCTATTTATCATTTCTTGCCTATGTCTTGTAATATGAGAAACTACTTTGGCAGTAACAATACACAATGTACTAACCATTGTTACTCTCCTAAAATCTTGTTTTGCAATTTTGTACCATTGTTTTTTTTTTCTTTAAAATAAGAATAACTGATGTCAAAAAAAAACAAGAAAAAAAAAAAATAGGAAACCACCCTGGGCAGCTGAGCAAGACCTTGTCTCAAAATTAAAAAAAAATTAAGTTACTGATGGATTTTGCCTAGTATGTCTACCACTGCAGGTTTAATTCTGAGTATCATAAAAAGCGGCTAAAATGAAGAAAATGATGTTTTCTTAGCTCTGGGAAAATAAGAAGGCCATGTAGCCTCTATCCTTAGACCTTCTGTCTCTAAGGATGAGAGCAATGTTTTGGATATCAGAAATAAATAAATTCTGCATATTTTTTCATGCAATTCCCTGACTCCAGAGCCCTTGGTAGGGTCTTGCTGGGAGTCATGAGATTTGCTTGTTTTGCTAGAGTGTTGACTAGGGTTCTGTGATCAAGAGTATAGAGGCGCTTGAAGAGACATTATAGAACACAAAAGTGTTCATTGTCTCTTTCTTGTCATCACCCAGCAGGTAGAGCTTGTCCTTGGGTCACTCTCGGTGGAACTGCTCAGGAGCAGTGATAGCAAAAGGAAGCAGTGACTGAAACAACACTGATTCTTCTGTCTTTATGGAGGTCCAAGCTCTTTTGTTTCTATTTGTATGTGTTCATTGTTGTAGCAGAGGGACTGTGGATTTGGCTCAGCAGTAGAATGCTTGCCTAGCAAGCTGGAAGCCCTGGGTTCAGTCCTCGGCACCAAAAACAAAAAATAAACCTCCTCTAAAAAACAATTCAACCAAAAAAAATACAGTAAAATCAAAAAAGACCAAAAACAAACAAGGCAACTGCATTATTGTAGCAGGAGGGAGACAGAGAAAGCATTTTAGTACCACTAAACAAGTAAGGAAACTGTGGCATAGAGAGCCCAGGTAAGTAGCTCAAGGAACCCCCAGCAGTTGGCACACATGCCAGAGACTAGGAACCCACTGTCCAGGCGCAGGCCTCACATAGACCTCTGTGAGCAATACCATCCTCTCCTGGGCTCCACTAGAAGAGGTTGCAAAGGAAGATGTAATGGACCAGTGCACAACACTTTGACCTACTTTCTGATTGTCAGGTGGGTGATTCAGCAGCTATCAGGATAAAGAGAGAATCTGAGTGAACCACACAGACTCAAAATGCATCCAAATGGTTAACTGAGTCTCTTTGATCCTAGTATCCTAAGTGGGGACTGCCAAGGAGAATTAATACCGGCCAGTGGCAGGCCCAGTAGTGTCCTATGCACTTGAAATTCTTACAGCTCAGATGTACATTTGTTTTTTTTTTTGTTTTGTTTTGTTTTGTTTTTTGTTTTTTTTTTTTACATCAGTTATTTTTATTTTAAAGAAGGAAAAAAAAAATAAAAACAGTGGTACAAAATCTCAAAACAAGATTTTAGGAGAGTAACAATGGTTAGTACATTGTGTGTTGTTATTGCCAAAGTAGTTTCTCATTTTATAAGACATAGGCAAGAAATAA